AAATTATAGAAAGGTGTGTTATATTAATTTTTATTAGAATTTTTTGTAGGAATGCTATTTAATAATGAATATTTTGGTATAATATTGGTAAATATAAACTTGAATTGAATATAATTTAAAGTTTAATAACAATAAATAAATGTTGACCTTTATATTTCTTATTATTAGTAACTGTAAAAAATCTAGCAACTAGTAGCTTAACTTTCCCAGAAACATTTGATACCGCGTGTTTCGCCATCTGTTAACATATTTAATTTAAAAATCTCTTCTTGTGTGAATTATTATAAAATAGCAACACCTTCATTTTAAGGTTAAAGATGGGTTTTATAAAAAATTGTAAATCTTAATAACGAGTAAAATTTTTAGTAAGCCTGACCCTCGAGACGTAAAATATAAATCCCCTTCTCTATCTCCCCACTGCAGGGAGAGTGAAATTTGATACGATTTCAATTTTTTTTATTTCCATGTGTACAAAAGTACAAATGTAATAATTATCGGAATGAAACGAGGGTAGTCAGCAGGGAAACTTTTTGAGAGGGAAAAATTTGTTCCAAGTTCTACTGACAGGTAGCGTTTACATACAATGTTTACACAGAGTCCATGTATAAACGACAATGAAGATGACTTTCAATGTAATTTCTCATTCTGGGGTATCTAAATTCTCGATTGTTTCTATCAGACCCTATCATATTCTTGGAATTGAAAAATTATACTCGGTGCAAGGAAACATTCATCTTCCCTGACAAGCTGCACTTTGCAGGTGCGGGCATTTGCTTCACATAATTGTGTTATACCCATGTTTAAACATTTGTTTAATAAAGACATTAAAACACAATATTTTTATTATCATTTTTCATGGTTTTATAGGTCAACACCGCTTACCGGCGACATTTGGAACTGATTTCCCGTTAACCAAAAGCACCTTGCTGGCAATATTCACCACGCAAACCGCATTTTATAATTTTTCCATTTTTTGTGAATGTTTAAAATTTTTACGGACTTTTTGCTTATCTGTATATTCAGCAACATAATTTTTTGATAACATGAATAATTAATATTTTAATATTTACTATAATTTGATGTAAAAGTTGTGCTGAGTGGTTCTAATCTTTCATTTATTTCGAAAAACCGTGTCTTTTTTTTTAATTTTTTCACTTCATAACTAGATGTATAGGTAGACACCAAGCATCTTCAACATCACTAATTATTTAGGAATAATCGGTGTGTAAGATATTCCTGAATATCTAGTGATGCTAAAAATAATCTTAAATCAACTGCCATATATGGCTAAATTTGGGAAATAGAAATCTCACGCATTTTTCTAGAAAAAAGTCTTCAAGTATGCACAAAGTAGTAATTCATAATGTTGAATAATGGCATTTCTACTTTAGAAATAACACGTAGCAGAGAAAAAGATACCATAAGAATATGTTCAAGAAAAGTATTTTAATAATGTTTCACTCTATTTTATCGTTTTTTCTCATGATTATTTAATTAATTTTCTTTTTAATTCAGCAATGATGTTCATGATTATTATGGAAGAATTGGTAATAAAAACAAATATGAAGGGACGAACTTGACGTTTACAAAAAAATTTATACATCCAGATCACGGTTTAGTAGGGAATGTCCATGATATTGCGCTTCTGATTCTTCAAGAACCTGTCCATAATATGCTCCCAATTGATCTACCTGGTAGTAACGAAATGTTTACTAATGGTTTGGTGAAGATTGTCGGTTGGGAAACAAAAAATTCCGGTAAGTATTTCAATTGTCTGTATTATATAAAATATAATACGGGAATAAAAATAAAATAAATTTTCTTTTTATAATTTACATACAGATCATGATACAAATTTTCTTCAAGTAGCGGAAGCGAATTTAATGGATCCACAAAGCGCTGCTCGTCAGTTTGGAATGTCCATAACTGGTGAAGAAATTGTAGCAGTACCATCTGAAGGAAAAGTAGTGAAAGTAAAGCAGTTACCATTTTCGACATAGACTTTATAGCTAATATTATCCTTTTAATTATAAGAGTTTATTTTTGTTTACAGGGCGAATATGGCTCACCATTGATATTCACAAATAAATCAGGAAAACAAATTCTCATTGGCATTTTGACTAACCCAAGCAATACTGACAAAGAACCAGATATTTACCTATCAACCAGTGTTAATATTGATTTTATAAATCGTTACCGCTGTGAAAAGGACTCATGCGTTTAAGTATATAATTAGAATATTGCAGAGACCTTTTCTATTAAAAAGCTATACGTATCAAATCTAAATTGTAATTGCAATGAGCGTGTATTTTTCGAGAATATATCAAAATAATCAACGATTTATATATTCCAGTTTTTATTAATTTAAAAGATTTTCGACATGGATATAATTTTGTTTATTTATTTACTATTTAAAATATGCCTGTGATTCCTTTAAATAAAACCTNTTTATTTGTCACGTGAATTTTTATGTCAATATATAGAGGATGTCTTGCACTCTTATTTAATCGTTCTCGAGAACTAACATATTTCTCGTTCTTGTTCTTTACGTGGAAGAATATCGAAACTTTAAAGGTAAGCTTATCTGTAGTCTGAGCGTGTGTATGATCAGTTTGCTTACTATTAATATATTCAGTGTTTTAACTAAAGCATTTGGCACCTGGACCCCTTCTTTAGTATCCATTAATTAATAGATTTTGGACAGTCCGAAATTCAGTTTTAAGTTGCAATCAGCATCGTAAAATGGTTTAATCTGACAATTCTTGGTTTAACACATTATTACGCAGAAATATAGCAGTTATAAACTGCTTAAGTGTTAGTGGTGTAATGGCTGTGCCGGTGTCACACAATGCGTCCGCAAGCTGAAATTGTTCGAGCGGATATCTTCAGGTACTTTAATATGTCTGACCATGAATTATTTGCCAAGGGGGAATTTTTCCCAGAAGGTCTCTTTATGGGAAACACCCTTGTTTAGGGCACTGGACACGAGATAAATGTCATAATCTTGAGATAAGTATCATAATTTTATAAATGAAATATAGTGTTTTAAGAAAACGTGAATATTTGATAATGGATATAATACATAGTGTAAAAGTTTAACCTTATTTTCTTTGTTCGTTTATCCTGAAAAATTTAAATTTTAGTGTTTATGTTAAATTAATACAATGGTTCAAAATGGTGGATTTTATTAAGAAGAAATATCATTTCGAGGCTAAGGTTTAATATAAATGGCATCCACAAAAACATATTTCTGTACTTACCACAGCACTGAAAGACCTGCTACAAGACACAACTTTTTACATCTCTTTCCGAAATTTTATTATAACAACTTAAGCGAGAAAATAAAATAAATATAGGTAAATTATAATATTAGGAATGTATCCATTTATAATTATAGCGGTTTGCTCCTGACAGACTAAGGTAATCTTTGATGAATGGTAATGTGGACTATGCTAAGTATAAATTGCGTCAAACATATTGAGTTATCTGAATGTGTCCGCAGATATAATTGCATTGTCTACGACTTTCAGGTACGACACCTTGGATTGAATCGTGCAATGAATATAGTTAACAAAGGAACAATTATAAAGAATGCATATAAGTTAGGAAAGAGTGCAATATTCTAAAATTAGAGCTTAATTGAGTAATAATTTAGTTAAATGAGTATAATATACTTATCTAAGCCTGTTAATATATACTATAGTTTAATGTTTTGAAAATATTGCTTAGTCAAGAAATGTGAATAGAAATTTCTCTATTAGATATGTGTATAACTGTATACAGTACCTTGGCGAATTATTCGCTTTATCGACTAAATTATGCATTTTGTATTATTTCCTTTTTCTTTTTATAATATTGTTCAAGGAGTAAGTATTTTTTGCTCTATTTTTATTCTCTGTTATATCATTAATATTTATAAAAAATTTTTTATATGATAACACCAAATATCAAAACCAAGAAGTATACTGTACAGTAGACCCCGCAATAACGCGGTAGATACGTCCCGTTTTATACGAATTTCGCGTTGTAGGAATTCTTAAATACATGAGCCAATCACAGCCCGACACGTGTGCAGTTTACGGACTAAGGCTGTTTGAAATGTTTTCTTCCATAAAAATAATTAATTCTAGACTAATTCAACTCAACGTTTCCAAAACACGTATATTTTTTTTGGGAATAATCCGTATAAACTATGCAATAAACAAAAAATTGTAGGCTTACTTACAGAATGTGCACCGTTTGACGTCGCCATTGCTTAAGCTTGTTTTCGTCGCGGAGCAGCGCACCAAAGGCGGGCGATTTCTGATAAGTTATTTTTCTGCGAAAACTTCGTTGAACTTTGGAGACATCATTAATATAAATAATTTTTATGGCCGTTGAATAAGAAATGTTTCTTTCACAAGAAATGTATAAAATTAGTGCTGTATTAGACTTACGGTACCTAATTTACATACTGTACAGACGATA